ACCTGCTGCCTGCTCCCCCATGCTGTGCCCCGGCACATTGACATTAGGCCTGAAGCAGATGCAGTAAAAATATCTAGGTTTATTAAAGACAAATTAATAGTCTGATTCCCAGATGAAGCTGAATTATAAGTCACCATGTCCCAGATTTGTGCATTACATGGGAAATGACATAGTGATGTTAATTTTTGATTTTGCTAAGTAAGGGCATTAACAAATAACTACTATCTTGTATTCTGTCATTAAAAAAGAAAAAAAAGCATATAATTGCTGCAAAAAAGAGATGTTATTATATTGAATAGATTTAGACTTCTGATTCTTTTTTTCTTTTTTAAAAAATTAATTAATTAATTAATTAATTCATGAGATATTCATGAGAATATTCATGAGATACAAAGCTGATTGTGCCCCCTCCTGCCCATGATGTTGGGGCCAGATTCATATAGGGGACATACCTATTACCAGAAATTGCTTTTGTACCCTTTGTTCCCTTCCAATTATCCCCCAACCTCCCTCCCCTTCCCCCTCCCTCAAGTTCAATTTGTAGCCCTAGGAATGTTCCCTCCCTCTGTTGGATCATGGGACTACTGTGGTCTTTCTTTCCTGCCTTCCTTTCTCTCTTAGCTCCGACATGAGTGAGCACATGAGGTATTTATCCTTCTGTGCTTTGCTTGTTTCACTCAACATATGTTTCTCCAGATTCATCCATGTTGTGCTGGGAAAACTGGATATCCATATGCAGAAGAATGAAACTAGACATGCACCTCTCACCATACACTAAAATCAACTAAAATGGATTAAAGACCTAGGTATAAGACCCCAAACTGTAAAATTACTAAGGGAAAATGTAGGTGAATCACTTCAGCAGTTAGGTCCACGCACAGGCTTTATGAACATGAGCCCAAAAGCACAAGCAGCAAAAGAAAAAATAAACAAATGGGACTATATCAAACTAAAAAATTTCTGCACAGCAAAAGAAACAACCAACAGAGTGAAACAACAACCTACAGAGTGGGAGAAAATTTTTGCCAACTATGCATCTGACAAGGGACTAACATCCAGAATATACATAGAACTCAAGCAATTATACAGTAAAAAAATAAATGAACCAATTAAAAAATGGGCAAAGGATCTGAATAGACATTTTTCAAAGGAAGACATATGAATGGCCAACAGATACATGAAAAAATGCTCAACATCACTAGT